CTGACTACAGCTACTATTGAAAAATCTGCCAAGAAATATTAGTTGTGAAGTGGCTATGCAATGGGAGAGTAAAAAATATTAGGAACCGCCAAAACCCCTCATTTGATGAAGACAAAAAGCTGGAGGAGGCATCTAAAAACTAGAAAAGCTTTCTAGGTACAAATCTTCTGCTGATAAAAGGATGCTGCAGACTGAGGATACAAAATGCCAGTAGCAACTAATTGTCCGGATAATTTCTTGCTGGTCCCATAGAAGTAATTCTGGGATTCACTCGGCCCTCAGGAGCACCTGGACACTGCACAGGTAGTACAGGTGTTTTCTAAAGAATGGAAATGCAGTGACTCCTCATGTCACGACTATGACAAACATCACAGTATTGCCTTTTGTATGGCTGAGGAGTACATGTGTAGGGAGGAGGAGTAAAAGGAGTTTTGGGGTTTTTTCTGAACCCTGGTGAAGGCTCAGTAACCTCAGCATGAATTTATAATGTCATTGCTTTTCAAAATACTGTCAGAGAAACAGAGAGGCTCCTCCCTTCAGACATCAGACTCCATTGAAGACTTCATCTAGTCTTAAGGCTATGTTTACATATAGCATTTTTACTGTTTTAAATCATTCCTATTATGAGATGGCATAATTAAAGCAGGAACTCTCCTAGCTCAGATGCAGCAGCATCCAGACAAAGGTGCCTTTATGTAGGTGTTGCACGTTCCTACAGATTTATGGAACCAAAGCAGTAGAAGCCCCTTTTTACAGGTATAACCATTGCTGTGCTACAAGCTTGTATCTCTCTACCCACATTGCTCACAGACACAAGGGAGGAAAAACAATACAGAAACAACGTGTACAGCTGCCCGAGCGACTCCGCGTTGCTCAGCAGAGATGTTCTGAGCCCCTCTGTGGTCCCTAGCTGGGCAGACGTCCCAGGGGATCGTGGCTAGCACTGCTTCGGAGGGCAGTGGCAGGGCAGGGAGCGGGGTCTGGCTGTGTTTTTGGGACCCTCCAATGCTTGGTTGTGGCCCGAGAGCTGCGCTCGGGTATGCATTTGCATTACGAGGCCACTGTATGCTGTCAAAGCAATGTTAAAACTGTAGTAATACTAAAGTTATCCAGAAATATAACCCTAATCCTGGTTTTCTCTTTGCCCTTCCTGCCCAGCATACTCCAGCAAGACAATACCAAGCCTTTCTAATGGCTTAGTTCAGAGGCGGGACTTCTGCTGTATCAGATAAAATTCAGCTATTCCTGGCATTAATTACATTAGCTATAAACATACAGGACGCCAGGGACAGCCTTTGCAGGGGCTGCACATCTGCTGCAGTGACAGAGGCCAGTCCTTGTTTATTCTGGATATCAGGACAACTGAGCAAATGGTGACTGGTGGCCAGTTACTGCAGACTTCCCAGTTACACACATCAGCCCCAGACCTCCTTCACCTGGCAGACCTTGCAGAGCTTCGTTGGGGCACGGGGGGACTGAGCAACGCACAAACTAGCGGGAGGAACTCAGACCCCGATTCCTGGCTCCTTTTTACTGCATTAGAGTTTTAAGTTTGATGTTAGCAAGTAAATGAATCATTTTAATCAGATTCACACCGAAGCTTGTTTGAAGCTGAACAAAACACATACATGGGTTCTCATCTGCTCAGACCCATCGTCTGCCGGGTTGGCAGTGTTGGCTACTGGGAGCTCAGCAGACAGCCTCGGCGCTCTGATGGTCAATGGTCATCCTTGGTGGTGGTGGTGAGACTTTATAGGGTCTGTAGCAGAATGCAGCACCATTTTAGCCCACGAGGAGTAGGGGTCAGGGCATTAGCCAGTTCTCAAAGTGTCTTATGGGAATTCCAAATTCCCCATGGGAATGGGAAGACCATTTTAAGATGAATTGACCCAAATTGACTCCCTCGTACTATTTGCCCTCTACTTGGAGGAGGCAGGTAGGGAGGAAGGAAGATCCTAACAGAGCAACTTTCTCTATAGAAGGAAGATGTTCACGTCATAGTCCATTGGCATTTGGAAAGGCACCTTAGGTCATCCCTAAGTAACACCACTTAGTTTGATCAACTCATTTCAAAGCCTCAGCTCTGATTACAGTTGATGAACGAAGCAGTGAGGTACTTCCCACCTCTCCCCTGCAGCCAAAATCATTACAAATTTGTAATACCCCAACGTTGCTGAAAAGAAGCAAGTCTTATTGCCAGAAGTCTGCATATGTTCCTTGATGTCACCAAATCCATAAACATCACCTATAATGAGTGGAAGAGGAATGTTATATTGCCTCTATTACAACAGGGTGACAGAGCAGAACAGCCTCTGTCAATATATGGTGTTTTTGTGGGTCACGAGAAGGTTTTATTTCTCTCTTAGCGCCTTGAATCCCTGTTTTAAGACAACCAGGGGACACACAAGGCAGCTTTAGAGCTGCTCCTTTTACTTCTCACCTGATCTATATTTTGAGATGGCTTCTTAGAAGAAGGGCAAACATAATAAGCCAGCAACTGTACTTTTTATAACTCTCAGTCAGGTCTTTGATTTGGGCCAGCAAGGAAGCTTGTTAGATCTGATAAAGCAACTAAGCATCTCTGGAAAATGCTATTAAAAGAACATGAAACAAATGAAACGCTGGGACAGACTTAATGGTAAATACACGGCCTGGCAGTTCAGCACAGCTACATCCTGTTTGCCATTATTATTTAATACCAGCATCGACTGGTTGAAGGATGAGACAGACCAGGCAATTCTCTGTGGGGTTTACTTGAATACCATTTCACTTTGAGATTAAACAAGGCCACAAGCTTGGATCACGCTGTCTTGTTGGAAAATTTTAATTAATTGATTTAATGTCAGGGACTACTGTGGTCAAGCAGTAAACAACACCTCTTTGATCATCTATGTGGACAAACCAATTCCCTGCTAACTATCAAGCAGTGCCCAGCTCCAGGTTAGAACTGGCGCAGCTTTAGCCTGCTCCTCTGGAACAACAAGCTGTACAGCCACTATGCCGCATGCTGGTAGTATAAGCTGTTCATATGGAAACAGCTGTTGTCACGGCTCAAGCTCTTGGGTCTTCATATTAATTTTTTCTGAGCACCCACAGAGGCCTAGAACAATTTACACCAGCTCTCCATTTCACAACAGTGACACATGGATATGAAGGGAAGTCTGCAGAGTAATTATTTCCACCATCATCACGTTAGCTGCTCCCCTTTAATGGCAGAACAAGGCTAGTGACACAGATAGGGAGGCTAAACTCAGCAACTACCTCCAGCAGGTATGCTGCAACCGAGCAAAACTCAGTGTGAGACCACATAGAAAGGGAAGGTGATTTTTAAGACTGATTTCACCCACTCATTCTTTCATGCTCATTCTTGCACGTTCGCGTTCTCTAGCACCAAGACACATGCGTCCAAGTGATCAGGTGAGGACTGCCTATAGCGATGCAGAGGACAAGTCTTCATCACGCCTCTGTGATTCATCCTGAGTGGTGAAGACAACATATGACATTTACAGTCTTTAAACTCTCTCTTAGTACAGGCAGCTCTGGGTCTGCTTGAGTTGCATCACACTGTTGTTGCTCCATATCCATGTTGTGTTCTTATCCGAGGTATGGCCTCGCTGCCACCAGCACTCATTCCTTCTGCTATTACATTCTTCTCTGCTCTCCTCTTGCTGTTCTCAGCCTCCTGAATTGCAGCATATACACCATTCTTTGCCATGATGATTTCCACACAGAACCATTTGTCTTCCAAAGTTCTCTGGAAGCACTGATCAGGCCCCACAAACACCTAGGTATTTAATTCCTGTTTGATATATAATGCAAACAAAAGGCTGATTTGGCGAGCAGTTTATTCCTGAGTTGTCCCTGGCAAGGAAGGTCACTTTACGTAGACCAGATAAATTGTCTTACAAATAGCCTACTGATCACTGGCTGGAAATCTGTGGCTACATGCATCAATTCCCAACCTCCATCTGTCTTTACAGCTAAGCATTACTCTTTCCACCACCACCACCTCAATCTTTTCCTCAGAGGCAACAGCCAGGGGTTTGGAAGCAGGGTCATGGCAAAACAAAAAACCCTGAATGATGGAAAGATGAAGGTGGAATAACTTTGAGTAGGGGAAGCTTCCTTCCCTGGTTCAGAGGTGTGCAGCACCTTGTGTGTACCTTGTACCAGCAGCACTGTTAAAGGAGCTGCAGGAGAGTGCAGCCGAATAGCTTGGAGCACGGCTTTCTCTCCCCGAGACCGAGCAGCTGTCCTGGAATTGGATGTGGCACAAAGCTGCAAGGGAACAAGAGGGAGGACAGAAAGCAGCTACTCCCCATTTTCTACAGGTTCTAACGAGCGTTTGTATTTTTGTCTTACAAGAGCAGATGTGAAACCCAGCCCGCCTGTCTTTAGGAGAATTCATCTCTCTCTCAAGAAGCAAAACAACACTTTCTCTTCTCAACAGCCATTTTTATTGCTTTTGACAATACACCATTGGAGGGAAAAAGAAATAATTTTCTGCTATTCTTTAGCTTCTTTCTTTATAAGTAAATTCCCTGGGACTATTGATAAAAGGTAAATGGTTAACTTTGCATCCAAGCTGACAACACAACTAAAAAGAGTTGGAAATTGCCCAAAGCAGGCTACTCGTATAAGAATAGCACCACAAAACTGCCCAAGTAACCACTCTATGGAGTAATTAACTAACATTTGCATGGAGAATGAGCTCTTACAGCCATTGCTAACAAGACTGAAAGTCCTTGTCTCAAGATGACATAGCAGAGGCTCAGGCCTGAAGGCGTCAGCAATGTTTAGTTCAAGCCAACAATAATCAAGAAAAAAAAAAAAATCTTTCCACTCATTCCAACGGGCTTTGGCTAAGGCCCCTCACACACACACACGCATGCACACACACAAATCTTTCAAAATAGCCAGAAACAGTGTCCTGAATCACACCTTCAACTCCCAGCTCCTGCCACAGTCCAGCCTTCATCTACAAAATAAATATACATGGGTTTAACAATGAAGAATATTTACTTTCCTTCATTTGATACATTCTGTAAAGTGCTGTGTTTCTAAATCATACTGAGTTAAAAATTGCTCTAGTATTTTAAATACAATAAATATAGAATGAGCTGTGTGCAACTTCACTTGCAAGTTTTATTCTTTTTTTAGTAGATATACTAAATTTAGTAATCAAAATAGCTTCCACTAGTACTCCACAAAACACTAGTAAGAAGTTATAAATAAAATCATGTCCGTCAAAGATATCCTACGCACTTCTCCTGTCCACATTGCATGGATTAGCGTAGTGTTCCTGTGAGCATATGGAGCGAAGAAAAACAAGGAAGCTGAAAATTACCTAACAATAAAAAGCAAAACCATACAAGTTAATGCTACATATCCTCCCATAAACAGTCTGTTTTCTACATTTAATCTTGGTGCATACAACCCAGTAGTTCTATTTTTTTCCCCATTAAAAAACTCTTCCAGGAAGAACATCTTGCAAGATACGTGTTGATTCATCTTCATCTTGCTCCTTTTTACTGCAAAGTGGAAAAGATTCTTGAACAAACTGCCTACACATTGGACACTGCTGAAAATACTTAATGCAGCCATCACACAAGCACGCGTGCCTGCAGGGTAGGAGTACCCAGTTCACTGTGCCATTTTGGCAAACAACACAATCTTTACTGTTTTCTTCATGCAATTCTGGTTCATCTTCAGCCAGTCCAGCCTTTTCTAGCAAGCTTCTGTCAGTGTTTCTCTCACTAGGGGACGTATCGCTTGAAGACGGTGCAGTACTATTTGCAGACATGAAGAGCTGCTAAAATACACATATACACAAACATTTAGAAGTCAACAAACTCCCCTCGATACCTGAACACACACATGCAATGCAAATTCCACTGGGTCAGATTCACTGGTTTCCACTGGGTCAAACAGTGCCAGACTCTTCACGTGAGTCCTGACAGTTGCCTGGCCTTCAGTTAAAGGTATTTCAGAAGCATAAAATTACATAAAACACTGGGAAAATATTAAGGATAAGTCATCAAATTTTAGCTGAATCAAATCAATGTACACGCATGAACTTTAACAGAACTGCCCAGGTTTTGAGCAGCTCAGGTTTCTGTTTCTGGTATATCATTCTCTATGCCTAGGGGGATGCTTCTATCCATTCCTATCAAAAATATATCCACCAAGCTGTCAGATCAACTTCACTCAACCCATTCTGCTCTTGCTCATAGTACAATCCCCTACTCCTTTTTGTCTTATTTTATGTGAAGCGCAAATTCTTCTGGGCATGATCTCTCAATATAGCCAGTAAACTACCATGCAGCTAAAGATGCCCATAGAGAGCACACTATACAACTAGACAAAATGCAGCTGCACAGTTATTTCTGTTCAATTTAAGCAGTGTTTTTACAATGGCAACCACACATGAAAAGAAAGCTTAAGGGGATCAACAGGGAAGTTTACCTGAACTATGTCAGCAAAAAATGGTCAGGACAAACATTTCTTTGGACAAATCTATTTCTGAATGAATGCTAATTGAGGCAATTGAATTAATTTGGCCCAACTTCTAGCTTATCAATACCGTATGTTATTTTTATTATCACAGTAATATAAAAGTGAATTGCACAGAATCACATCACCAACTGGCTGACAGACACAGGACAAAGATGGTCCCACAACATGCATAGATAAGGGGAACTGTAATGGAATAATGAGAACATTGTTTTAACTTACAATGGTATGTGCTAGGCAGATTCCTAACCTTTGTGCATGTATTGGAATAAAAATAACCAAAAAAAAAAAGTATCTTCTCAGGCTTTCCCAACTGAAGGCCAGTATAGGAGAAAGTGCTGGCTTGAGAGACTAGCAAGGAGGTAACAAATGTTCTGTAGAGCAGAAGCATTTGACAGCTAATTAATGTCTTACTACTGCTTTAATAAGTGGACGGGACCTAGGCCTCTAGACTAGAATCAAGTAATTTCCCCAGGAAATGTTGAATATTTTCATATAAAATATTTCTGTACAGTAATTTTTGCTGGAACTACTTAACTGATAAAATAATTTTAACTATTATCCAGTTCTTTGCATGATAATAAAAGTCTTATACTAATTTAGGCTCCTGAAAGCCTACACAAACTAAACACTGTCACCTAAATGAAACGAGACTCAGTACGCAGCTTACCTTCAGATCATGGTATTGACCTTGAGCTAGAAGCAGATACTGATACAGTATCCTGCAGGAAAGTCTGTAGCTCTCATCAGGAATGTGAATTACAGCCACCATTGAAACCTACCAAAAAAAAGCTATGTTTAATAACTTTCCTTTTTGTTACATGATTCATATAGAACAGTTTGCTTGAAAGATTGCATACTTTGTTACAACCTCTGACCTGCTTATTTCCTTAGACAATCAGGACTTCAACAACGTTGACTTCAAGCACAGATCAAAAAAATAAGCTGGGCAAAGTAAAAACAGGACGTGGCACAAGGTAACGCTTTGTGGCACTTCAGTCTTCTGCCCTGGTTCTCCATGGAGCCCTTCTATGGCCACTGTACAGCGCAGACCTGCTCGGACTGCTCTCACCTAATGGAATTAGGCTCCCAACCAAAATGGCACCTAAACACATGCAGTCCTCCTGAAGGTTAAGTGCTTATGCAGCTGAGGTAGGGCTTGCTTACACAGTCACGGATGTGCCTCAGAGAAGCTACCTGCATGATGATTTCCACCAGAAGTAGCAGCTCCTACACTCCTCCTTCCACACCACCAACTCACGATGAGCTCCTCCTAGATGGGAGAGAAGCTGACAAACTGCAAGGAGTTTCGTGCAGCAATGGAGTCCCAAGCGAGCGCATGTACTTGAGTCCCATACAACATCTGCAGCCACGTCCCAGGCTCTCTTCAACACAAGAAATGACCCTGCCAGCTGAAGTCCGAGTGCAGAATTACAGGGGAACACGTGAAAGGCAAAGTCTTCTCTTCTTTCTCCCACTTCCCTCACAAACACACAGACTGCAGTTTTTAGACTCCAAAAAGCATTTAGAAGTGTTGCCGATTGGCTTGTAAACTGAGTAGGCAAAAGACAAATTTCACTGGAAAGGATTATGAAAGGACCCCATGGGCTGACTTTAGAGTAATTTTTCTGAAAATAAAAGTACTCTAAGCTTGCATGCTGTGCCTAATACCCCTCACCCTGCCCAAATTACATAATAGCTTCTAAAAAGCAGGAAAAAAAGAAAGTGAAATTCAATATTATTGTAGTTCCCAGAAGCTGTCAAAAGAGAAATGAAATATAGAAGAAAGCTGTTTTGTATAAAAAAAAATTTTAAAGACAAACCAGACTTGCACTTCAAAATCCATACATGGCTAATTACATGCAGAGTTTAAATATATATGTACCTATGTACACGTATTTATACTAACTGAATTTACTATTCTGTGGCAATAAGGTCTTTTTTTCTAAATCACAATGCCTCAAAAAAAAAAACCCAAACAACCAAACAAAAAAGAACCAACAAACAAACCAAAACCCACACCACTATTAGCTTTGTTTTGGAACCTGAAACCCATTTAATCTCAATTAAAATGACAGATTTTGTGTTTTGATAATAAGAGTTTTAAAGCTAACTGTTCTCACTGTATTTGTATTATGTCATCCCACCATAACATAAGTGCTTTCTCAGGGATGACGCGTGTCCTCAGTTCATACTTTCTTCAGACACCTAGCCAACTTTTTAACTGTGAGTGGGATCAGTGCCTAATGTAAGCATCTCCATCTTCAAGCTATTGTCGTCTCTGTTATGCTGTCCTGCAGTATAGAAACATATACAGTGGTACTGTGACCTAGTAGAAATGCTATGCTGTTTGATTACAGAACCCCTTCCCCTCGAGCACGAGGTATTTTCTCTTTGTAAATACTTGTACACCATAATCGAGTTACTTCTCAATCTTCTGTTTTATACACAGGCCTGAGATCGAAGTGTTCTTCCACTTTAGCCCTGCCAGTTTTCAAATAATTTCTGTAACTCTTATATACGGTCATGCTAATTTTCTGGAGCTGGGGGAAAACTGCGGCACAAAACCAAATAGGCATGATCCAGCCACAAATACAGTTAGGATGAAAATTAGACCCCCCCAGAAAAGAGATACTGGAACACCATCCATAGTGATGGGCACACACTCAAAAAAAGTAATTCAAGATGGAGCTTGATGCACTGATGTGAGAATAACATAGCAACACCATACTGGCCACAGTGGCAAAGATACCTTTCCATGCTATCTTTATATTTTACAAGTTTTTTCAACAAAAACAGATGCAATTCTGACATTTGTCTGGCAAGGAGTTCAGGAGGAGTAACTCCTTTGACCATGTTAATGGTTGTGTTCTTTTTCTCCAAAACCAGAGGAAAAATATCTCCCCCACTCTCCTTCCATCCCTTTCTTCTATGTTAAGGAACAAGAGAGAGGTGTTACAAATTCATGTCCATGCTAATGTCAAACACATTCAAATATGACTTTCACAGTCTCTTTATATTAAACTAATCTGAGCTCTAAACATATCAGATGTACTAATCTGGGAAACTGCTGGGGTGGGGGGAAGGGGAGAATCTCGAGTGGGGACAGGAGGGAGGAAGGCAGTCCTAAGGTCAAGTGACAAGAAGCCAAGGACAGGCATCTCTTGGAAAGGGACAGATTTCTTAAGCACTGGTATGACCACAGACTTTCCAAATGAATGTATGAAAAAGTGTTCAGTGGATTTAGGCAATTTGCTTCTGAGTTCATTTGTATTATTGTTCAAGCAGTTAGTGCTATCAGATTATTAACCAAATGAATAGATGGGAGATAAAAGTGTGTCCCAAATCATTCCAAAAAGAATCAGTCAATTTAGAGTTTAGAAGGGATATTGAACTGTACATGACACAGATGAAGCTGCTTTAACTGTAAGAGATTAGGAGGAGACCTTTCTGGGGACCTGAGTATCTCATATCAGTCTACTGCAAGACCTTTACACCTTCCTGTAAATGACCTGAAGCTGGCTAATGTGAGACATAATGTATGGCATTACATAGACTCCAGCCTGTTGGAGAAAGGTAATTTCTATGTTCCTAACAGTCAAGTCAGCAATCAGCTCAAATATCTGTGCCAAACACTAAAAAAAAAAAAAAAAAAAAAATCCTGCTACCTTGCCAACAGCAATCCAAAAGACTGTATCAGCGCCAAGAGCTCCACCACAGGTTTATGTGACCAGAGAAACCAGAGTAATAGCTTACTAACCTACCACAACCCTAGTTCATCTGACCACAGGGCTTACCACAGACACCTTTGCATATATGAGCTTTGTGAAAATCATAAGCATCCTTTGAATGCTATACATAATTTTTATATAGCAATTATCCTTGCTGTTCTGCCATGTTCCCCTGCAGTCATCAGTGACAAAGTTAGGGACCAAATTCTAGGAGACAGGGAAAGGAAGCTGGTTTATTCATGCCTGTCTCTTGAAACATTCAGGCCTTAAATACAGTGACCCTAAAATATATTCTTATATTACTTACAATATCATATATTTCTCTGTCTTCTTCATCAGCTAACGTCAACAATGCTATCAATGGATAGCGAGATCTAGGCACTGGGCCAAAATCGACAACTTGAGCATCTTCAGGTAACTGACAATATTTTTCTTCCTTGTCATTTTTTTTAATGCTTTGTATGTGTCAAGGAAAACAATCAGTGTCCCTGCAATTGTAGACAAATGTGGCATTTGCATAAAGAATGTTTGTCATCATATTTATTCATAAATATATTGTGCCAAGAACTGCCGAGTGTGCACAAGTCTCAACATTCCCTGTGCCAATAAATTAGCATATTTTGTCAAAACAATTTTAAAAAAAGGATACAAGTACTGTTGTCGATAGAGGTATTCGCTGTACAGAGCATCCTCTAATGCCTGAGGAGTCTTTATTCTGAAGCAGTAGACATGTTTCTGCAACGCTTCATGGAGTTTTTGAACACTGCAGCCCCAGTAGCATGTAAGAATGCAGTCTTCCAGACAATCAGGTGTCAGTGTTATACCCTCTTAAAGAAAGAAGATAAGGATTTCATTAACAAACCCACGTGCAGGAATTCTGGAACTGCTAAGTGTAGGTTCTTAAAGGGCAACAAGCAGAAAACAACTTCAGTGTCCCAGATTTTTATCATTATAATCTGATCTTCTAAGAATTCAGACTAGGTTTGGTGCTTATGAAAGTCAGTGGAGATGAAGAAGTGGGTGAGAGGAGATAAAATGGCTGATTAAGCTGACAAAAGTAGCATGTGCCTTTTATGAAGGGTAAATTTTAACTTCTGGTAACATTTTACACACTCACTGGCAGACCCAAGAGCACAACCCCTAGCCCAAAGTCCATTCCCTCCTTAAGATAATAGTATTAATTGGATCACTGGCCTACAACACTCTCTGTGGGCTCAAAGAATAAAGCCCTCTTGAGCATGCAGAGGGAGGATAAAAAGAGGATCTATGCGCTCCATTTCTCTTCTAAAAATCAAGTACCCAACCCATTAACTTCTGAACACTTACTGCACAAACAAGAGCAGAACTCTTGAAAAGTCCCACCAAATTCAAGTGCTCAAACCTCCTGAAAAATCCAAGTTACCTGAAGACTAAATTGTTGGATTTGTTGGGTTTTTGGTTTTTTATATGTTGAGGGAGGGGTAAAACTGCTGCAGCCCTTTTCTCATTCATAGCAAGGCTCCACATCTGTGTTGGCAGAAGATGCTCAGCCTTGCTTACTACTCCCCAGTGATGCAGAAGGGCATGAATTTCACTTCCTATGTGGGTGATTTCAAGGATGTTAGGAGCTACTTGAACTCTGATCCAAATAGATATTTAAATTCAGTTTCCACTGAAGCAGAGATAGAGAGAGAGGGAGATATTTATTTATTTATTTATTAAAAGTAGTGCGCTTCCAAACACGTCTGGAGATCTGGACTTAGATTTAAGTGGGCAGCATATATTTTATAATGAATTCTATAGAATTCAACAATTCTGTAAAGTTTACAAAAATGCCCACAGTAGTTGGTAATCTGCAAATGTTTTTGTTACTTAAAAATCTGTTATAACGGGAAGCGTTTCATTAATAAGAATTAAACTGTACTTAAATATCCAAACATTTCACTTTTAAAAGCACCACATTTATAAGCTGTGTAAAAATTATTTCTGTTGTAATGATGGGAGGAAGCATGTTTCTGAGGAATTTTGGTAAAGGAAAAGGGTGAGAGCAAGAAAACATAGTACTAAGATCAGGAACCCAAACTGACAAAAATCAAGCACATCAGAAATCCACTGACTTGTTACTGAGGCTGTAGCAGGATGAGGGATTTCTAACCCAAAAGGATTCTTCACTTGTCTCATCCGCTTTTTCAAAACTCTTGTGCTGGATTCTGTTTCTTCTGAGTTTCTCAGAATAACAGGAACACCCAACCCAAACCTATGAGACATGAAACAAGAACAAGTGGGTTAAGTGTTAGTGTTGACACATTTGAATTTTTCTTCAGCTCTAAATAGCAAGCAGCACAACAAATAGAGCTAGCTTGGCTTTGCAGAATATCTGCTAGGATGCATGCATAATATAGCCTGCCAATCTGACTCCAGCTTTTTGTGGCAGAAGGTAGGAGTCTTTGCAGCAATACAGAAAACCTATAAAGGGGGAGTATGTTACTCCTGCGTTTCCAGAAAGAGACTAAAATTAACCAGAATGGTCAATGCCCTCTAGTGGCAAACGGTTAGCCAGAGCTTTCTTCCAGTTGACATTCTACACATCCCATCACAGGACCAAAAAAAGTCGCTGCTTGCAAAGATGGAACAGCCTTAATGGACTGGGTGCTCAAAAAAAAGACCTTGGAGTAAATCATTCAGCCCCAAGATATTTCTAGCTGTAACTACAGCCAGCAAGATGTTTTTACGGGAGACCAAGATCCTGATTTCCCATGTAAACCTCAATTACAACAATACGCTGATATTAAACCAGAGGCTGTAAAGCCTCTGCTTTGAGCCAGAAACCAAGTGCAAAACAGTCAAGACTCTGAATCAAAGCTGAGACTCTAAGACCCCTGCAAAGCTCAAACTAGCACACTAGCCCAAGTGATATTCTGACCCTAAAAGGATAACGAAACAAAGGTTTAAAAGTTTAAACACCCTATGAATCAAAATAAAAATCAAAGAAAGCAAGGAAGAATATTTTCGTATTATTTCCGACATCAATCAAAAACTCCAAGATTTTCATATTGCCTGGGGCTTTTAAAAGAACGATTACAGAAGATCAGGATCTACAAAAGAAGTTCCACAACAGACTTCCTTTTACGCTCGGCTAAAAATAATTCTCTTTTTAAGGGGATAGCAATAACTTTCAATAACCAAAATCTGATTAGAGAAACTGTCCCAGATATGCAATCAGAAGACTACTTCGGAGACTGAAGAGATTTTCTTAACTGCATTAATCCAGTCCTGTCCCATTAGTAGGGCAACAGGGAGAGGCTCTGGGATCTTTTGTTAATGCATTTTAGAAAACAGTTATTAATAAGGTCAGGCTGTACTTTCCTGAATTTGTGCTTTTGTCGCTGCCACCTGTACTGTTGACCTGATGGCCTGTTTAATGGCTTTGAATTTTGGTTTATGCAGTCATCAGCATATTGGGTGCTAGAAAACTCTGAATGGCACAAAGCATCAGCTCTTCCCTGCATCAATTGTTTCCATTTAGTATACTGAAATAGCAGCTGTTACAGTAAGATGGGTCTCATATCAATAACTCAAGCTGAAAAGGGCACTACCAACTTCAATGTAATCAGTTTGAAAATTGCTAAAGCAATTTCATGTACAATACAGCTCTGAGCCAAACACAATTTTGTAGCTTAACTGCTACTTTTTCCTGGTTTTAAAATCTTTTCCAACTCCTGTGTGTCAAATGGAGAAGAAAAGCAGAGCTTTTACTGACATTGGGCTCCTTTCTATTGATTCATGTTGGAGTGGTGCCTTTTGTAAGACTAACAGGGAAAAACATCAGTCTTAAGTGATTTTCAAGTTGAGGAAACTACTTCAGGAAAAAAATTCTCAAAGCCATTCTCAACAGCACCAACCTGTTCCTGGCAGTCTAACAAATATTTGCCTTTACCATTTAATGTCTTGCGTGCCTGAGTGTCACAGATACACGAAAGAGGAAAGAGATCGAGCTGGCGGAAAATACTCTATACTCGTTACTCCTTCTTTGATAAATTCTTTTGGTTTGCCAGACTTTGATAGAAACATTTGCCTTTCTTCAATGATATAACATCAGGTGCTCAGCCATACTTAGTTTGTGCGCATAGAGGATCAAATCTCTGTCCAATGCAAGTAAACACAGCCATGCTGACTTCACTGAGGCTTTAATGAAGTACACCAGTTAAACATCTTACTCACAAAGAAACCAGGTGCAGCAGCTGTTTCACTTACTCAATATCCAAAACTCAATGGAGCTAATCTCTCCAGACGCACATAAAAATGCCTCCTGTTTTATACCATCTGGCTGATTCCGAAGCAAAACCCCTGTTCTTTGGAAACTTTCTTTGCTGGTCAAAAGCAACAGGATAATCAGCATGAAAAGCAGCCATAGAAAAAAGCCTCTAGTACAGTTTTAGCAGCAGCTGAAGGCAGAAAGGCCTTTCTGTTCAACAATAAGATACAGTGTTTCTGTAAATTTTTAGGTAGTATTCAGTGTATGAAGGATGAATAAAGACAGTTTTTATTTTATGATTTAACAGTCTATCAGCCTAGAGCTGGTATAGGGGAAAGTTAATTTCTTCAGAACAATAATAGTTTAGAAAAGGCAGGAGTTTCCAACGTTTTTGTTCATGAGTTAATTTCTTCAAAGAGCAGCCCGGACTTCGAACAGCTGCTGAGCCTACAGCTCCTCCAAATACGAGCATTCATCTCCAGCTAAAAAGGTGACGTACAGGACTGTATTCACCTCATCTGAATTCCACTTCATTCCTAGGCCCAGAGCATCTAATGGGCTGGCTCTAGAAAGCTACCTGTGCAGTAATCTACTTAGACTCTCTGAGCAGAGTCACAGGTATCCAGGGCTGGCCATCAAAACAGACGCTCATCAAATCAGTGCATGATTTTGCAAATGAAAACATTAACATTCCCAAGCAGTTGGAGTTTTTCAGGCTGACTGACACCATCATGAACACATCTATAAAAGAAGCTGACAACTGATGCTGAAAATGATGGGGGAAACAAAATGTCATTACAGCAATATATCAAGTATTATGTCCTTATGACACCATATGCATTTATAGTACTCTGTGTAGCAAATAAAGGATCAAGCTGTTTTCACGAGTAAGTTCAAGTGCGCTTAAACTGTAACTGCAGATGCAGACACATTGAAGTTGCTTGGAGGTTCTTGGTCATATGGCCACGGCACAGCAGAGTTCAAAGGTAGCAGCAAATATCTCTGAGCAGCTGGCCACATACGCACATACTTGTATGTGCTGAGCTCCTGGCTGCTGCTTCTACTTGACTAACAGTTCCTTAACAAACTAGTTTGAAGACAGTTTGTACATATTTACATAAACTGCAATAGTATCTAGTGCAGATGCACCTAGAATCTCTGATCCTGAAATAAAAATGCATCTGTACAGTCCTCTGCACACCCTCTAGCCCAAAAAGCATCAATGGACACGTGTACAGATGTGAGGACCTTCTGGCACACCTATTTCAGATGTTTAACTGCAGGCGATTGCAAAGCATTTATTATAAGCAGATAAATAATGATTAAATTGATAAAGGTTTGGGATATACATGCAGGAGATTTTTTTTGAATCATGATTCAGTATAATCTTTTTGTAAAGATAATATTTTTAAAGAACTGATGAAGCAAAAAAGGAAAAAGTGGAGAAAAGTGGAAGGCAATATAATACTGTCAGTATGCAGTGGCACAGAGAGAATTATGAAAAGGATTTCTACTACCTCTGTCTCCAAGTAAATAATGAGGTGGAGTTTCATCCAGCAAAAAGATAACAAAAAGACCAGTCTTGCCTTCACTACCACTTACCCAGCACTCGGGGAGGCAATGCAAAACAAGAACAAAAACTTCCCACAAAGCCCATCTAAAAGATCAAAAGATCTGCTTCATTCACACCGAAAGCAGTAGATGGCATATGTTTGAGCCAATGGCAGCTAACAAAGTGATGTAAACAAGGGAAAGACTTTGCACTAAAGGAAAAGTCAAGCAGAGTATTTATAAGCTACCAAGAGAAGAAACAGCTACAGCTAAAACATCTGTAATTCAAAGAGAGACAAAGGATGGAAAACACTGAAGCAAAGCACTACAGATATTAATGTTAAGCCAATGGGAGGAAATGCAATTCCTACTTAAAATATTTTGATTGCTAATCAATGCTCTCCACTTGGCAAGTATCAGTATTTACATTTACAGACACTCCTGAGTCGGCAGGAAAACAGATAGAACAGTGCTATGAACAGACATTCAGGGACCCGTTTCTGAAAAAGGCAACACTGACATCTTTGCTGAAACCTCTCAAACACAGTAGGAGAAGGTCTTCCACTCATCACCCCTCTAGACACTTCAGCAGATCAGTTGTTTAAGGCTCCTCCCCATCCCAATCCCAGCACCCTGTTCGGTTCACCTGAAACACCCCCTTCCCCGAGCTTCAGCAGTGGAACAGACTGGTACCTCGTCAGTGGTCCTGGGTAGTCTCACACCTCAGTAACAACTCTGCCTTGAAGCCTGGCACATTTAGCTGCTACCCGGCCTAACACCAGGCTCATTACTCAATATCTGCCCATTTTATTTACTATCAAGATTTAAGATGTTCATCTCCAACAGTGCCAAACTTTCCCCTTGGAGCAGCCCTCCCTGATTCCCACCCCCTCACTCAGGGTCAGGTCCTCTCCCAGCCATCCCATTTTCTCCACAGCTTTCATCCTCACCTTCTCCTGCTAGAGCAGCCCCTCTTCCCCTATGGTCAGTGCTAGCCCTCCTCATCCTCCTTTCTTCAACACAACCCCACTTCTCCGACCACTGCCAGTCCCCACACACCCATCCACACCACCAGCCCCGACGCTGTCCCACCTCGGGGCCACCCCACAGCCCCACAGCTCATTCCCCAAGAAGCGCCAGCTCCCATTACCCCCCTCCTACGCCGTGCCACCTCATTACACCGCCAGCCCTCCGCAGCCAAGGCCCATCACCCCAGATCGGACTCCACGGCCCGAGCCGGCCCCACAGAGACGGTGCTGGCTGCCCCCACAGCCGGCGCCGGCCCCACCACCGCACTCACCAGCCTAGCACCAGGCCGCTGGTGACGAGGAAGCAGACGAACACCACGGTGATGTAGAAGAGCGGCGAGTACTCGTAGAGCGTGACGAGGAAGACGGCAGCCATGGGGCCGGGCCGAGCCGAGCCGCCCGCCTCACCGTAGACCCCGCCGGTTCCCGCAGCCGGGCGCATGCGCAGCAGCGGAGCGAAGCCGTTGCCCTGAGCTTGCCCGGAGGTGGGCGTGACCGTGGGCGGGGCTACGCTGCCTAGTGACGGCCCGCAGGTTCCCCAGCTGCCTGGATTTCCACGAAGCATTTAATTAATAAAAACCGCGTATGTGCCCATCCGGCACAACCTGCCTTCAAACACCTCCGTGCCTTAACTGTGGCAATCCTGGCGCTTGGAAAAGTGACCTCGACTAAAGATGGGATGCTGCCAAGTTCCTCCCTCTACTTCTAAACGGAGCACTACACAAATACGTTTTGCATGCTGAAATGCATAAGCAACCTACCTACAGAATACCGCACGAGGAAATATCTGGTTTTAAGAGTGTAGGGAGATTAAGTGACACTTCAACAGCTGCTCTGCAATCCTGCACTTCCATGGTGTTTACTGATTCTCTTGCTGAAAATCTGCAATTTTACCGCATAGATCCAGCATTCAAGTCATTAATGTGATTCCCAAGAGGTCATATCCGAGACATAAAGTCTTTGTATTTTCATTCTCTTTGAGCAAGCAAAGCAGTAATTTTAATTCTCGCTGTTATGAGATTGCCGAGAAGGCATTTTCTTTTCTGTTACAGCAGCTTAAATTTCCAGCAGAACAAAAAAGGCCGGATATTTCCTCCAGCACCAAGACATCCCTCCACCAACAGCCTATTATGGAAGAAAAGTGTCTGCCTTGTGCTTGCAGCTCATATTTGTGATTTGTGAGCTCCAAATCCTGGTTTACTTCCAGAATTACACTCAACTTGTATAAACAAGAAGTACCACGAGTGGCAGAACTTACTGATTTTTGTCTCATGCTTGAATTTTCAGGCAGACACTCCAGCTGAGGCTTATTTAACAGCCATTTTTCTGTGTGTATTCTCCATCGTTTTAGTAAAGGATGTGAAGTTACTAACAGGCCTTAATGGCCTCGTCTAACCTTGATCACCCTCCCCGGGGCCTGCTCCTGACCCTGCCCATGGGCTGATATCCCGGCCCGGCCTTGGCACAGGGAGGATCCTCTGCGGATCAGGGTTTAAATATTGTCACCCTTAAGGCACGCTAACCGCTAAGAAGCGGAATTCCCCGATTCCGAGCCCGTTTCTCCCGCGCCCCCGGGGGTGGCCCGGCCGCCCCCACAGCTGACAGACCGTACGTGAGGAAACACCTTCCCGCCCGTTGCACACGGCCCCGCCCCGTTGCCATGACTACGCGGGAGGGCGGGGCCGCGGCGCCATAGCAACGGGGAGGGGCACGGCGGGGTGCGAGGCCGGGGCATCACGTGGCGCCGCGCCACGCGCCCGCGCGCGCGCCCCTTTCCCTCCCTCCCCTGCGGCGCCGCGGCACGTGGGACGCGCCCGGCAACGAGCCTCTACCCCGCGGCCCTTGAACCCTCCCGCTACCCGTAGGCGGTGTGACGCTACCCGCCCCCCAGCTGGGACAGCGGTACTGATTGGTCAAAGGAGAGGGGGAGGCGGGGTCCCCGCCGGCGCAGGCGCAGTGGGGTGCGCAGCCTAGCGAGGGAGGCGGCGGCGGGCGGAGGCTTCCGTTGTTGGCGCGCGAGCGGTCGGCGGTTGGGCGGTTGCGCGCGCGCGCAAGATGGTGAGAGGAGCCCGCGCTGTCTGAGGGGGGGAGGCGGCCGGGCCGGGCCGGGCCGGGCCGGGCCGGGGGGAACCCCAACGGCCTCCGCGGGCTCGGGGAGGGAGGGTCCCCCCCGCTGAGGCGGGAGAGGCGTCGTGAGGCCGGTGTCCCCGCGCCGCCGGGCTCGGCGGGCTGGGGAGGGAGTTCTGAGGGCAGAAAGTGCCTTCGGAGGAGCGGGGGTGGGTGTCTCCTCAGGGTGAGCCGGAGCCCTTCGGTCTAGGGGTGCTGCCCGGGAAGGTGCTGCCGTGAGAAGCTCCTCCGGCCCTGCCCGACCTCCTCCCCGGGTCGTGCCGTGCTCAACTGCTGCCCCGCCGGCCAAGGGACCTCCTCGGTTGTTTTTGTGCTGGGCGCTGGCAGCCTGCGGGGGGAGAATGAAGAAACAGCTGTTTAAAAGGGAAGTCTTGACCCTGCCCTGCCAGCGGCTGTTCGGCAGAAGGCTAAATCGGTTTCTGAAAATCTTGAAGCATAATGCCGGTATGAATGGTGGCTGAGGTTAACCAACAGCAACACCCCCCCACCGTGCTGCTTGGCAGGTGTGCCCACTGTCTGTGCAGTCCTGTCTCTCGACTTGACTTTTATTAGTTTTTATGAAACCAAGCACTGCTGAGCCAGCTTAGCCCTGATAGATGATCTGAATCTGATGTCAGCATGTGTTTTGCAGGCACAGCCTACAACTTCTCTTAGGGGTTTATGTTTGTGACTGCACAGGTGTGAACAAGAGCACTGCATACCCTGTAGTGTCTGCTGGAAGATGATAGGAAACTGCTGAGCCCAGAGGACTGGGAGAAATGCTTCCTTCAGCAAAGAGTGTTTGATACAGAATATAACTTCAGTTTTGAAATGCAGCCCTGAATTTTGTTGTTGGTGATTTTTTTTAAGTAGAGACCGCCTGAAGTAGTGAGAGTGGGTATTAATGACATTTGTGGATCAGAAGGAGCCAAGAACAATTTAAAGTTTAGGGGAGCAAGCAAAATAACAAAGGCTGTGCACACAGTGCCTGACCTGTCCTTTCACAGCAGAGCCTGATTTCCTCTCCAGCTGTTAAAAGGAAGCAGAGGCACAAGGCTTTGTGCCAGAATTTGGTCAAGGTGGAAATCTTTTTAGGAGTAACAACAAACATAGGATATTTGCAAGGTGATTTTGGAAGTGGGGAAGGAGGGACAGTGCTCTGCTTTTTGATGAAAATCTCACAAACAAGTCAATGTTGAACAGAAGGAGACAGAACTCAGAGTTTAAGTAGTAACTTTCTTCTGATTTTTAAGCAGTGATTTGTCTCAGTGAAACAGCTCTTCAGTAGATCTTGGGATAGGTAATCTTGCAACTACTTTTTTTTATTTGAGCAATTTTTTTAAAGAAGTCTTGAAATACAGTTGTTTTGGCACCAAAGCCTTGATGCCTTAGGAATTTACAAATACAATAATATGAATAAGCTGGAGATGTTAAATAACTTCTTCGTCTAGCTGGCTTGCATCTCTTAACTGTGGTGATAGAGGCTGTGTGGATAAAATGTTGCTCAGGAAATGGCAGTGGTTGGCTTGGTACAGTTTAAAAATTGCATATGTAATGGAAGGTAACTTGCACGGCTGCTTGTGAAATAATCATTTCCTTCCCCATCTTCAGTGTGATGACTAATACGTTATCTGGACATTTCTTCTGAAAACTTGGAGTTAGTAGCATATAAGCCCCGGGGGGGGAAAGTATGCATGCTTTTTGGTTAAAATGTCTTAAATGCTTTCTGGGTGTGTAAATCTAAAAAGTTCAGGTAATATTTTTATGAGTAAAAATAAGCAGTGACCCTTGATTACTGTCTGGGTTCTTCTGAAGTACTAGTAGTAGGTCCTAGTATTTTAAATGCTGAAATTACTTTAGCCAGTTTACTGCCACTTTAACAGGCTTCCTTCTTTCAGGACTTGTCTTGGCAAATGAACTGTAAAATTTGTTTACTTCTAAGAGCTATGAGAATAATCCCACTTCAGGAATAGCTAATAAAATATTTGTAGTTAACTGTGTGGCTTTGAGGAGGGATATTAAAACAGATAAGTGTTCTGTTACTGTGTTTTTAAAAACTGCTTTCATCCATGTTTTTTCTGGTTTATGTATATGTTCTGAAACTTTGGACAAGCTGCATGCAGTTCCACTTTAGTAGGGTTTATGTGCACATATGCGTGACATGGGGATTTTTTTTTTGGTTTACTAGAAAGATTTATTTATCTTTCCCTCCCCTCTGCCATTTCCTTTTTGTAGAGTGAATCTCTGGTGGTTTGTGATGTTGCTGAAGACCTGGTGGAGAAACTGAGAAAATTCCGGTTTCGTAAAGAAACCAACAATGCTGCCATTATAAGTAAGTTAAAAACATGTCTGACAAAAATTGCAAGGTCTTGCAGAAAATCCTATCTCCTCTTTTCCTTCCCATGTAACGTTGCTGCTTTAACAGATAAATGTGAGCCAAGAGGCTGTTTCTTGTATGGACTTCAGTACTTCAAATTCTGTCTGTAATTTTAACAGTAAAGCAGTGCTGTTCTTATGATACAAAACTGCATCTGCTCTTAGTATTTATACTTAATTTTGGCTCAGAGTCTACCACTGTTTGTAAAATGATAGTAAAAAATGTCAAGGCACAGTCATTTTGAGTTTGTAAATTTTGTAGCCTTTAAGTAGGGGAGTTTGACATTTCTGTCTTTGAAATTTGAGAAGAGTGTATTGCAATGAACAACGCTTAGACTGTGCGCTTCCCTTCAGTGATTTTATGAAGTCATGGGATAGACTGAAGAAGCAGAATGGAAGCACAAGGAATATGTTTGTTGGGGTAACGTTAAAAAGCCTCAGACATGCATTGCATAAATCAATTGAAAATAACATTGATCTATGTTTTATTTTGATTTATAGTGAAAATCGACAAGGATAAGCAGTTGGTGGTACTGGATGAGGAGCATGAGGTTTGTTAAATGAATTGTAAATAAGAGTATCTTCAGCCTGCAATGTATTGTTGTCTCTAAGGTACTGCCTTAGTTTCAAATTGTTATCAAACTCTTAATCTAATTTGGGTCATGAGCTTATTTAAATGCATGGTCACTGCATGTAAAGCACAGCACTATTAATAGTGGAACTATGCAGAAGCAATTGAGTTGACTAATTAATTGCACAAAAAAGTTATTTTAAAGCTGTTATGATACAACTGTGTAAAAAGCATCTTTGGCACCTGCTGGCTTTTTGAAGAGATTTCTGCTGTGTTTCCACGTAGGTTTGCATATTTGGCTCTGAGCTGATCTGCCATCAATTAGAAGCTAGGATTGCTAATCCTCTGCAGACTCTAACTTTGATAGGTGGCATAATAAGGTCAGCCCAGCATGTAGTATTTCTTAATGGTACATAGGGCAAAATTAAATCCTTCCCAGGGATTTGAGCATTAACCGTAGCTCTTATTCCCTAGAATGTAGAAGTTAATGTAATATCTGAATAGAATAGGGACTCTTTTTTTTTGTTGTTGTTTTTTGGCTTGCTCAAGGAGGAAGGACTGAATTTTTCAAAAGCACCATTTGCGTAGCTGATTTTAACAGATACTTTTTTGGTGTGTGCTTGCTTACTTCTGTTTAGCGCTAGAGTTAGAAAAGCATGGTAGTTGCTAGCATATCCAACTAGAGCCAAAAATGTTTTCTAAACTCATTATGCCTAAAATAGGGATGATTATTCATGCTAACATTAATTCTGTGTTTAGTCATAGGAATCTATTGGCACACAGGTTTTCCTAAACCACTCTAGTAATTTGAGTGAGAGATCATTATCAGTTCAACTGTAGATGTACATCTAACTTACAGCTATTTCACTGTTCCATTATTCTGCTTTAGCCTTCATAGTATACCTTCAAGTGCAAGATCATTTGTTCAAATATTGCTTGTGTTTAATGTTACCAGGGTATTTCTCCCGATGAGCTAAAAGATGAGCTGCCTGAGAGACAACCTCGATATCCTTCTTGTGCTGCTGGCATTTGCTCTTACTCCTGGAAGCTGTTCAAAATGTTCAAAGTTGGACTTCACCTTTTTAGGCCAATACTTTCCTGTAGTGCAACTTTACTGACACTTTATTTGTGAGATAACCTAGGGATCAGTTCTTATGATGCATGGAACAGTTGTCCCACTTGTTGAAACAATCTGGAATGTTCCACTTGTTGACACATTTAAGCCTTTCCTGAGATTTTATTTCCTTTTAGACTATATTATGTTTGGGGAAAGTAAAGCAAAGCCACGCTGCTGTTAATGTAAAGAAGTGAGTAAAATGTACCAGTTTTGTATGTGGCTACTTCTAAACATAGAAGAGTGCCTGTGTAACTTAGGATCTGTTTTGGTACTCTCTCAGTGTGTGGCCCTTGCTATTTTGCTGCAGTTATTGATTCTGGGAGTGCTGTAGGCATGTGATCTAGGGAAGAATCCTTGTATTAAAAAAAAAAAAAAAAAAAGGGACAAGTAAATTATTCTTTAACTAGATGAAATAAGAGGGGTACTTAAGTTACAAGTGAAGAAAATATCTGCCTCCATTATCCGCAAAAGCTGGTTGGCACTGTTCCGCGTGCCATTGTGAATCTTTTCTTTCATGACCATAGTGCAGTAGGAGGCTGTAAAGCAAGAGTACTAGCTAAAACTTGAGTTCAAATTCAGCAAGACACCTGAAACAATGAAATGCTTAGTCTGCAAAGAAAGAGTTTGGCTTTCATTAAGCCAGAAACACATTAGTGGGTGTGGGAAATCTTTTTACAAAGCTAGGAGAGGAATATTTGCAATGAAAGGGTGATTTTTAGCTCTGATGTGAAACAGTAATACAGAGACAGCCCTCATACCCATGGTAGAGGTTGGTAAAGACAGGCGGGGTCAGTTCTGAAAGTCAAGTGTGGAAGTGAAAACAGGAGAACAGTGAGAGTACTTACCAAATTTAAAGCATCTTCTAGAATGCAAGACTTAATTTGTGCCTGCATCAAGCTCTGATAACTGAGGATTATATCCTAATAAAATCACTGATTTCTTAGTTTCTTTAACCTCAGAAAAAACATTTATTGTGTATAGTTACAAGTATCAGCATGATGATGGAAGAGTTTCTTATCCATTGTGCTTTATCTTCTCCAGTCCAGTTGGTGAGTGAATATTGTGAATGGTAGCTACTATGGGCTGTAAATATGGGAATATTCTTTGCTCTGGAAGATAAAATGAGTGCTTAATGCTCGAATAGTGGTTCAGATGCTTAAGGCTAGATTTGCTTATGCCACTGCTGGAAGCAAGGCACTATAAAGTTATGGCATTATCTGGAGACCACCTTTGGCAGAGAGGAATCTCTAGAGTATTAGCTCCATCCTCACTGTCAGCTGGTGACAAGTGTAAATGCTTCCATCTGCCCAGATCTACCTAGCGGCTGGAGGTTTTCACTGCCTTTGTGGTTCACATTTAGGGCACTTAAGATGTGTGATAGAAGAGATTCTTTCTTTCCCATGTCTGAAGGCTGAACAGAAGTGTTTGTTTCCTGCATAGCTGGCCAAAAGGTGTGTCTTTCTAAATGTGCCTGCCCACTGTGTTTTCAGGGGTGTGCTCAGCAACACCCTCCTGTAAAGGAAAAGAGCCTAGCCTGGAGCACTCTGCATCTATTCATGTAGGCTTAACCTAATGGGTTTCCTGTCACTCTCTCCTCAAATCTTGGGCAGTCCTCAAAATATGACCAGACAAGGCTCAGGAAGTGAGTGAGGAGAGAGCTGGAAGATACAACCTCTGTTCCTGAGGGTTTATCTTCACCTCTGTCCATCTTGCTATTTGGATGTTAGTGACTGGGTGGGAAGAAGTTCCTCTCCTTCTCAGAAGGGCATCAGAACCCATGTCTACCCATGAAGGGAACAGGACTCTGTAAAAGGGTTAAGATGGGATTTGAGAGGAGGGTTTTCCAGGGGGCCTGTGTGCAATGGACAGCAACAGAGGATGCCTCCAGACAGTGCTGTGATGTGAAGGTCTAAAGGGCTGTCACAATTATGGGTGAAAAGGAGGAAAAGAGGGCTCCATAACCCAGATCTGGGCAGGTGAAAGTGCTGGGTGAACAGATTAAGTTCGAGGAGAAAGACTGTAATCTTAGATCATCCCATGTTTATATAGAGCAGCAGCTTCCTCTGTGTCACAGCAACCCTCAACATAAACATACCTGTGCAGGGAACTGTGTAATTTTAGTAGAAGCCAAATAGCCCGTGACTTGATTTGGACTTGCAGAGCTGAATTGCTCCTGTGGCTTCCATCTGTGTTCTGAATTGTAATAGGGTAGCTTGCTGGTATTACTGGATTATCCTTGTTATCCTCTAGAAGAAGATAAACTGATTGCATTGTTTTACCCTTCATTACTCAGAACTAGAATAACTAGGTAGGTAAAAGAGTTTAGCAACTAGTGAGCATATTCTTCTGTAGTTACTGGAGAATCTGTGTGAATGTTCTGGGTGTTACTTCTGAAGGATAGATATTTTGTGAGTTAGAACAGCAGTAAGAAACTTCCTGGCAGACCCTGAAATAGCAAAGCAGGCAGACTTGTAGTACTTCACAGGAAAAGAGAGCTTAGACAATGGTTTTTATGGGTGGCAAGATTTAAAATACGCTAATATCTAGAAACTTCTAAAAAAGCAACTTCTAAAGAAAAGCCTTTTCTTTTTTTTTTTTCTTGAGGCTCTCCGTTTTAAAAAATTTTCTGCAAATACAAGTTAGTGGTTAAACTGATACTGGAGTCAGAACAATGAACCATTAATTGGGACTCTAAACAGCAGTTAACTTCAACTGTGTCTGAAGTGGCTCTGTGTTTGGGACTGGGGTGGGGGAGAGGAGTCATCTTGAGCTACCAGTTCAGTTGGGGCATTTGGGGAGAGATTAGGAGAAAGAACAACAAATTCAAACTGCCTTGGTTAGTTCTCAGTTTGGCTGCAGCTCATAGGCATATGCTATAAAGATCTGTGTAACTAGTGAAAACATGGGAATCTTCCAGAAATAGCAAGAGGGCGAAGAATTGAATGTAGTGTAATCAGCACGCTACTGTAGTGGCAGGAGCTACTGCTTTGTTGGCTGTGATTCAAGTTTGACTGCTGCAATGTTTGATGTTAGCTCTAAGCAGAAATACAGGTGCGTGTTGAGACCACCAATTCAACCTGCACAACTATTACTTCTGGAAATGCTTTTCAAGTACTAGATACGAAAGTAAGAGCAAGGATGATAATGTATATAAAGAAATAGGTCACTTTTCTGAATGGAGACTTCAGCTTTCAGTTTGGATTATTTTCAAAAATAAGATATTTATTTTTTTTTAGTGTTGCAGTCAAAATAACTAAACAAACCCTTTTTTTTCCCACAAAACTACAGGATGTAAGCCTGAACAGCAGATGATGTATGCTGGAAGCAAGAATAAGCTTGTACAGACAGCTGAACTCACTAAGGTATAACTGAGTAGTTGAAATAACTGTCTCCCCCTTAAATGCAGGTTGCAGAAGCTGTTTTGTGTCTTGCTTGAAGGGTGTTATGAGACTTTGTAATTACAGTGAACAGATTCTGTTTTAGGAAGACTGAAGAGAGGAGTATTATGTGGGGATTTTCTGGAGTACAGGAAGAACAATGTTCTCTAAAACTAAAACATCCATTGGACTTCTTTGCTTTGGGAATGAATTTTTTGATGGGAAGAATAGACTGAAATCTTAGTATGGTGTGGTGTGGACTAGTTTTGCAGCATGGTTTATGGGGTTGTGTGCTTGCAGAACATAGCCTTCAGAATAAGTAACGTGTGCCAAGTGATGAACAATTCTAAATCTTCCTGCGTTTGCTTCCTCTATTGCTGAGACCAGAAGAAATCACTGCATTTGCTAGGCCTAGGTATACATATATATTGGGGAATAAAAAAAAAAGCCACCTAATTGTCATTTTGGAGATATTTGAAATATCTGCTTAATTGGCGCCTAGACTTCTTAAAGCTTTAGTTTCAACCAGTAAAGCTAAATAGAGTCAGTGGTCACTTCAGGTTTTTCATACAATGTGAAGTGACTTCATCATTCCTCAACAGCACCGTTCCCTTTTGACCTTCCTTATTCTGACTGAGTACTTTAACATCCTAGTAAAAAAGTGTTGGGCCAATAAGAGAACTGTGAACTTCTACCTCTTCTAGCTGTACCTTGTAAGAAAGGACCTCTCTGTTTTAGATTAGACGTCAGGTTGACAGGAGTAAATAGGAGGGAAGCAGAAGATTAGATGATGGAAGCAATTGGTACAGTCCTGAGAAATCTTTTTTTAGGTCTGTTGAAACTGCATCTTAGAGGCCTGAGAACTCTTAGCATCTTTGATAGAAAAGAATTCCTTGAGGAGGAAGGCAGTTTTCAGTGAGTGAGAAGGAAGAGTTGATGAGAAGGTGAAAGCCTGGAGACTAGCTGTATTGGAGTTACTATCACCTGTCAAGTGGGAGAAGTTCAGTCTTGAAAGGCTTTTGAATGAAAGCCTAGGAGTGGATGTAGAGGTCCATGATCATCTTCCTTCTGAAGGTGGATAAGATAGCCTGTCTCCAGTTAGGGTTGCTTACTTGCTCTTCAAATGTGCTTTATTCTTGCCACTCGATGAGCTATGTTCCATTTTAGCTCGTGCTGTGACTTCCTCCTGGTGTGATTTCTGCATGTGACTCAACTGCATCCTCTTATTTTTTCAGTGGCTTGCATATTAGCTTGGCTTCTGTTAAGCTGTTCTGTTCTTACAACACTGAATTTTTGGTTTCCCCCCATCTTTTACTTAAAAAAAAAAAAAAATCAGTATTAGTTGATAGTAGTAGATCAGTGTCTAAATACAAGAAGCAGTGTCCAGAGCCCACTCCAGTAGAGATGGGAAATGAGGAAGAAAAGATACAAAACTTGAATTGTTTCCTGAAGAAGATTAACATGGTAAAATGTCTGAGGGCAGGACTAAAGAGGAAGTTCATTCCAAACAGCAGGTTCACTGAGAAGCTTTGTTTTGTGAGTGTTACAAAATTCTATTCGTTCTGTTGGCCTGAGCATGCTTTTTGCAGCTATGCACTGCATACCATTATAAGGTAAATGATTTAGTGTTGATACAGCTTTATTTTCAGCGTTGTCAGAATAGTAACAGCAGTCTCCAGTTAAAATACTTGTTTTCATTGCCTAGAAGAACACATCTGAAAGCCTATGGATTTGTAAAATTTACTTACTTGGCTTTTCTGAAAAGATGATCAATTTGTGGGCATCTCAATTAACTTAGCCTCTCTTCCAGGGTATTTAAAAAAAAAAAAAAAAAAAACAAACAAACTAGTTACTTGCCTATATGGAAAGAATATATTGGTGTCTTTGGTCTTGTTTTCTGCTTCAAGGCTATGTTAAAGGTTTCCACAAAGCTTTGGGTTGGTGGTTTTGGGGTGGCTTTTTTCAAGTTTTCTATTTCAAGGTATCCCAGGCTTGTTTCTAACAGGGAAAACAGTATGCTACTAGATACTATGGATTTATTTTAGTTCAAAGAAGGAATAACTGTGTCTTGGGCTGAGCAAAATTCCTGAACTTTGGGGTTAATTCAGCCCAGAGGTTAAATTAATTTGTATTCTTCAAATAGACAATCTTCTTGCTGAGATAATGCATATGAGATGGTGCCATTTCAGAGTAACTTTAAAATGCAGTACATGTGCTAGTCTCATATATTCTTAAAGGAGAAGAATGAAGTCTAGAAATAGGAATTACAGGATTCTTGTTCAAAGAATAAGAACTTCTTAATAAGAAGTTCAAAGAACTTCTTGTTCAAGTGGCAAAGTAATATTCTTTGCCACTTAGTCTTATTTTGCATTGATGTTACTTTAGAATATTAACCGATCCTTTCAAGAAAGCACATGAAAACACTAGGCTGGCTACTGATTTATTATGGCTCAAACAACTTGGGTGGAAAGGTATTGATTGCATTGTATGCTTATCCCTTTCAATTACCATCACCTCAAGAATTTATGCAATGCAATTTTGTTTAGGTATTTGAAATAAGAAATACAGAAGACCTAACTGAAGAATGGCTGCGTGAGAAACTGGGCTTCTTCCATTAAGAAAACCTCTGTAATAAGTATTTATGTACCATCCTGATAATACTGGAACCAGACATGAATACTTACATCTAAAAAATGCACTGTATTTACATCTGTCTCCTGCAGTATATCTTTTGTGCAAAGTTTGTGCAAAGAATAGCAGGTCTGTCTCCTTGAAGTAACAAATCTTTGCAGGTGTTTCCTTATTTGTACCTGTTAAAAGGGAATATTCCTCTGCAGGGACTCCTTTTGCACTCTTGTGACTAATATTTCTATAACTAAAATAGTTCAGTTTTGGATTTATAACTATCTACAAACATAATTTGGAAGCTGACGCTAACTTTTTCTGAGCTACAAATGCATCTTTATGACATATACTAGCCATTTATATGCAGAAATTGTGTACTGTCACTTACTTCTCAGACTTTTTGACATAATGTCTTCTCAATTTTGAAAACTACTCCCTGGAAGCATTTAGTATTCAAAAGACAAAATCCTCGTACAGCAAATCCATCCATTTATCTTTCCATCGAGTCCATGTGAACTTTCTTAAATTCTTGGAACTAATTCTTGTCATTCCAGTAATTCCTCAGTTGACTGAGTCAATCTTACTAAATTTCAGGGCAAAGCTTTGACTGTCCAGTTCTTATGCTAATATAGTCTTACAGGAACTAGGTGATAACTAAGGGCTGAATTACAACTCTGGTTACTCTTGTACCAGATGTCTTGCATATATAACTAACTACACTGTTAAGAAGTTTACCTCTGCTCGTTTCCTGTTATACAAACACCTGTTAATACTGTGTGCCTTTAATTTGTTAGCTTTAAAATGACTTGAGAATTTTACACTGCCACTTATTACAAATTTGGTAAAAACTTTGTTAAAGAATCCAAGTAACATTTTTTCCTAGTGCCTAGTGTTGCAGTTGACATCTGTAAAGAAAAAAAAGCTAACCTCATTATCTTTGAAATTCCAGTCATCTACTCCATTTGTAGGAGTCAGGAGGTTAAAGATTTTCATGATAATGAATGATTTATATCTCTTTTGTTATGAAAGTTGGCCACACATAGCTTTTGAGTACTTTAATTACAGTCTCTACCTTTAACTGCTTGTTGGTCAAAATTACATTCCAGATAAAGCTTTTGCATAAGTGATAATTTGATTTTCATTTACTTACGGTTCATCTCTTTGAAACAGCAGATATTCTAATGTGAAAATAGTATTTAACTTTTATAAATGACCAGTCTTTTTACAGGTCTGTTTTATATTCAATAGAGTAGTTGTCTGATATGGGACATGTTCAGCCCATGCAGTGGCAAAAGGAGTACTCATGTGACAGTATCTCACTATCTTGCTCATGAGTGTTTGTTGTGCTACTGAAGAAGTATCTGCGTAAGAGCAGCTTCCTGTTGATAATGTACCTTAAAATACAGCTGCCCTAACAAATCTGTTTGGTGAGAAGGAATGCAGTGTTAAATTTGGAGGCCAGTATTTCATGCTGTGAAACCTTTGCTGAAAGAAGGTTTATTTTTCATTTGTAAACATATGTTGTGTTAGTGTTAAAACACTAATTCCTCTAAGATCACAAGGAATTCATTTGCAAAGGTCCTCAGTGTTCGTAAATCTCTTCTTAGTTTGATGTTACTGCTCATTTATTTGTATACAAATCTGACTCGAGAGGAGCTTTTCAAAATACATGTTAGAATGATCCAATTAAATTGATCTTTCAGTGTGGAAAAGAAATGCTTGTAAATTAAAATTAAATTTCTGTGTTAATGTAGTGAACTGGAAAAACAATTTCATTTCCCTGGACAAAAAAATGTTGATTATGAAACTGTTGCTTGATCATTCTGTACTACAGATCAATAAAAACAATGTCTGTTGTGACAAACATTGTATAAATAAGACTTTAGCTTAAAGAATAGTGCCATTCTAAGCATCAGTCTGGAAACAGCAAGGATCTCATTTTGTTGGCATTGTGCTAAAGGTAAGGCATGTCAAAGTACAGTGTGGGTGAGAGGGAAGCTGCCACTTGTAATGTTCAGGTTGATTTGCAGTGGGGAAAACTGGATTAATAATCTTTATTAATAATCTTAATAATAATCTTGTACACTGGTGGGCTGCCAGCATCCAACTGCTGCTTGCACAGGTCTTGACAACAATAACTGTAAAAGGGGCCTGTCTCTCTTGGGAGGAGAAGGGAGGAGCTGCTGCAGTCAAGTGATTGAATTTGATTCTTCATCTCTGGATCACTCCACCTTCTGCCAAGAAAATATTGCTACTTAGGGCTGTATTTTCAGTCTGAGTTCTTTCACTTCAGATGTTCCTTTTGCCTCCGGTTAAGGACTTTCTGCCTTGGGTGCTGCCCCTCGAATCTTGCAGAAAGCAGACAAATCCTGATGAGAGTGTTAAAGCCCTCTTTCTTGTGAAAGGTGATGTTGATGCTGCTCAGGCCACCAGTATTATTCTTCAAACAGTCTTGCTTGGTAGCTCTACCTCCTTCCCCTCTCTGAGCTGTGGAAGTGAGGAAGCAGCTGCAGGTACTTGGAGAATGAGTGTGCAGAGGATGTTTGCTGTTCTAGGCTTGTTTGTGGTTTCCTTGTTTTTAATGCAGTGTTTTGACACAACTGTCTGCTGCTTACTGTCCTAGGCTCTTGAGATACACGTAGTGCTAATACTTGATTAAACAAAGACATTAATTGTGTCAAAATCTTTCCTGCACAGATAATACTTGTTTTCATAACATACTTTTCCCACTTTATTTTTAGAACTGTGTTTTCCATACTGCTTCCCCTGAACATCAGTGGGAGGCAGGTGTGTCCATGTTCAGAAGGCCAGTATGTTCTGACTGTGCTTTACTAGTGAGTTGCCCATCTGTAATCATACATTTGTCTTGAATTTTCAGATCTCTAAAGAGGGTTCAGACTAAAGGAAAACATAAATTAACTAATGCCACCTATGGGAGCCTTTGTAGCTAAAGGTCTGAGAGTCAGCATTTTCCATTGTGAGCTCCTATTTTTCAGGAGTTAGTAAGTTGGCCATAAAATCCTTGGCCTCGAGTTAAAGTCAAAGGTCTCTCAAAGGGAGACTTCTGCCACAATCTGGTTTGCTTTAAATATTGAATAGATGGCTGGGATACAGCTCTTGTAATCCTATTAATTGATGGTAAGCTGAATTAAAGCATGAGTTTGCATGTCAGCCCATAAAATGGACTTGTATTTGAATATTTTTAACAAAAAAAAAAATTAAATGCTGGTATTTGATGGTTTAAGTGTGTTGCTAGTATCATGAATGCTGTTTTGATCTATCAAAGGAGGCAATAATGTGGGTGTTGACACCTTTTCACTTCTCCAAAGGAGCATTTTATGCATTTGTACCAAGATTCCATTTTTGTATCTTTAACTGTAAAATAGCTGTCCAGAAACAATGTTAAACTGGTAACAGGCGTCTGAATCAAACATGCAAAAGCAAGAGAGTTCAATTCCTTGCTTCAGTGTGTTCAAAAAAGAAATGCCATGCAATGGTGTTTTTTTTGATACATACACTAGTAACTGTGAAATGGAGGTGTGATGGGACATAAGAAGGGGGGCAGTGAAACTCTTGCTTTTGTTATGTGATCCAGGCTCAATGTGATTTGTGTACTGTGACATGTCAGGGTTGGCACCAGTGCTGTGGGTGGTAAATGGTGCGAGAGGTTCACAGCCAGTTTTGAGAATTTGGCAATTCCATGAAAATATCAGTAACCAGTACAACTTCCATATGCTGTTTAGTCTCTGCTAGTTCACATTGCATGTTTACTTTAAACCAAATCTTTTTTGCTAAGCATGGTGCTTGTATTGGTTTCAATAAAATGTTTAATTAAGAGGTTCTGTTGCCCTGTTTTAATTGCAAAGTAGCACAGCTAGCATGTGTGTCTGATGGGAAAAGCTGTTAATACTAGGTATGACCTTTCTCCTTTTCTCACCTTCCTGGAGTTTGCTTTGGACTTGTAGTGTGGTCTTCAGTCTTGAATGTGCTCCCTCACTTATTTGTCTACGTAAAAAAATTCCTCTTTCCCTCTGTTGTGGAGGGTGGCAGCAAGGGAGAGGACAGCATCTGATGGAGCACTGCGGGATAACTGCCATCCTCCTCCGCTGCTTTGCACCTTTGTGTCACAAAACTCAGCGTGTGTACTTGTGAGCTGCAAGACAGCGTGGGGGCTCGACTTCATTCTGAAATGCCACTTAAACTTCCATGTTTGACCTCTCCCACAAGGTCAAGGCTCCTGGCATAACCTGGAGCTGTGAAATACAGTATAGAGTGCAGGTGCTAACTGAACAATGTTAGAGTTGTTGTCAAGGAGACCCCAAAGCTTGAAGGAGTCAAAGGAACTTAGTTGTACCTTTTCCTTCTCACAGTTGTTGGGTCATCTCTTTCCAGCCCAAGAGACCACTGGATTAATTTGATCAAAGCACTCCCTTTTCCTCATTCTTGCTGACTGTTTCTTCCTTTCCCAATCTTTGGAGATTTTTTTTTCACCTATATTGATGAAAAAACTACTAAAGATAATCCAAGGAATTCAGCTTTGGTAGCTGACATACGTTGTTTCTGCCGATGCTGAAGAACAGCATTAATGGGCCACAGATTAGATGCAATAGAAGTAAACCTCTTCTCTCTCAAGTGAGAGCTCTGTGAAGGAGAGAATGCACAGCTGCTTCAGCATATCTGGCTCTTGAATGGCACCTTGGTCACCTATGTGTTGCAACAAAATCTGTTGCCAAAAGCTCTGAAAAAAAACCCAGTTAAGCTGCTGTGGGAGAAGAATGGTTCTCAAGAACAGCTGATTAAAGGGAAGGAATAAATAGCTCTCACATCAGAGGGGGTCACCTGTGGAGTCCTGTAGCATTCTCTGTTGTTCACTGAGTATGTTTAACTCGAGAATGAGGTGATAGTTCACTGGTACTGCTAGATCATTGAGACAGTAAGAACAAAAGCTGACTAGAGAATTGCAAGGAGACCTAGGGACATGAAGTGAAGGGCAGCTGCTTTCATTCAGGAAAGGTCATTGACTTGCAACAGTTACATGAAAAGGGTGGTTGAGTGGTCATTAAAGTCAAAGCTAGAGAAGGGAATAGGAAACAAAATGGAAAACCTCTGTGCAGCACTACAAATCTGCAATGTACATGTAGCCTGGGTACCACACAGCTGGTGCTTTCTCTCCCAGGTGTGTGAATAGATGGCTGGCCCAGGGCTAGAAGTTTGCTAAGGAGATCCCTTGACTTGGCAGGGTCTTTGGGAATGATGCGGAGGAGGAATGGAGTTGGTTCTGGAGGAGCTGGAAGAGGAGCTGATGCAATTGCTGCCCATACGTGCCAGTCTGCTGGCAGTGAAAGGGACACCAGTCAAAGGGTCTTGGGAGCCTGTGCCTACTGCTCCATGTCCCTCCTGGGTCGTGGAATTGATTGGAGTACAAGCTGGCTCTCCCAGCCTCCTAATCTGGTCCTCACAGGCAAAGGTCCTGCCACATTGTGTTTGGGTGCATGTGAGGGTGGGGAAGACAAGCACAGGCAGGTAAGATACCGATATGGTGCCATGGAGAGGCAGAATGGCTGGATGTTTGAGCAGCCTTACGGGGGAGTGCTGGCGGGGAGGCTGTGGGACAGAGACCTGAGGCACTCTGTAGGTGTAAGAGCGGTTGGGGTTTATTCTGCCAAGCTCCTAGCAGAATGGAAGGGGTGATGATTTAAGGTGGGCCTCACCCCTTGGAACAAAAATGAGGACATGTGGCAGGAGGGCCATCCCCTGCATTTGTTAGTTTGCACAGTCACGTCAGCTGCAGTTTTGGTGGTGCCCCCCAGGGCCTTCTGCGGCAGCAGCGGAGACCTCACCCATGTGGGGACATTGCGGGGGTTAGCTAAGGCACCTCTCTTTGTAGCTGCAGGCAGGCTAGCTGCTGTAGTAACCCAAAAAAGCCTTGGCCTGGTCTAGCTGGATTGTTTCTGTGTTACGGTTGAAAATAGAACAAGACTTGTCAATCTCCTAAGGTGTGGCTAGTTAGAAAAAAACCGTGCTCAGCTTCATGTGGAAAAGCCTGCACAGGGGGGTTTATAGATCTCGGTGCTGGAGTTCTTGGATTTTGCTTCTACGTGTATGACTCTAGTTTGGTAACAGTCATTCTCTGCAGGGTCTTCCCCTAGGGCAGGCAACTGCTTCTCTCTAACAGCAAAGGAAGAGCTGTGGAGGTGGTGCCAAGTTTGTGGAGTACCTGCTGCTTCCCCAGCTCTTCCAGAAGGGTACTGAGCCCAGGGAATCAGTCCTGTGTGCTGAGCTGGCTTCCAGGCTAGGTATACAGCTTAAATTGTAACTGCTGGGGAAGAGAGAATTTTTCTGGGATCTGAGCGGAAGCCCTGGTGTTCCTAAAGAGCAGTCTTGAACTGCCAGATATGCAGGCATATAGGTTCCTGCAGCTTAGCAAGGAAAAGGAGTTGTAGTTCTCAACGTATATCTGTGGGGTCAACAGTCAGTCTTGGGGAACTGGCAACCTCTCTCTGTCTGGGCTGTTGTATAAGGTAGTGGTCTGGCTTCATTTGTGCTGTATTCAAGGCACTGGGAGCTTCATTTCCAGCCACGTTTCAATGAGCACAACAATTCTGAAGTACAAGGAGCCCTGATATTAGGTTTTAATGTCTCCAATTAATACACATTTGTATCTGCCAGGTCTTTATATTGAAAGGTTGAGCATAAGGCTGAGCAATTACATACCTCAATTCTTCTATTAACACTCAATTTTCATTTTGTGGGAAACAGTGAAGGAAAATGGTGAAATACTAAACAGTGGATATTCTCTGGTAGTGGTCAGGACGCTCCTGGCATGTAAAATTGTATTCACATCAGTGTAAACTGGGCCA